AGCCAACTTCAAACATGTGAATAATGAGCTATCTGTGCTTGACTTTGTTCGGCAGCAGAAGAGACGGTCCCTTCTAAACATTTTTCCTCCTGCTCCCTCCTGTGAACTTCTGGGCTTCGACTTGTAGAAGGTGGGCTTGAGGTAGCGTTGGCACTTGCCGGTTGCTGACGCTCATCGGAGCTTGGTGGAGATCTCCATCATCCTCTGTGGAGATGTCGTGTTTGAGTCCCTTCCAGCTGCCCAGTTCCCATCCCTACATTGTCCTCCCCTCCACATTGTCCTCCCCCTTCTTTCACTGGCCGTGGGGCTCCTCCACCAAATTCTTCTTGGCCGGCCATTTCCCATGGCGGGTCTCGAGCCGGAGGTGGGATTCCAGGGAAAACCTGAGGGATGTTCTCCTCCCGTGTTATAGGTGTGCAAAGATGAAACCAGCCCAACATCTGCTGTAAGGGACAGGCCTGCTGTTCCCATAACACAGGCGTTTCACATGTGGCTTGTTTCTGGAGCACATGCTGGGACTTGATAGTCTAGCCGAGACTCAGACTGGGAAAAAATTCAACCCTCTGTAGAGGATTGGCGTGTCTCTCTGAAGTACCTATTTTGAGGGCTACCAGAGGGATCTGAAAGGTGTTTTGCGCATTGAGACGGAGTTTTATCCCCTGCTGATTGCTTTCTTGTGGTCCATTCTCACGGACGTGTAGAGACTAAGCCACTGGGTTGTGTGCACGGGCTGCTCCTGGTGAGCTCCTTCTCAGCTAAACCGTAGGGCTTGGCTGTTCATTTTTGGGCAGAGCCTTGGGTGGAGGATGGTGGGCTCTTGCCGGTGGGACGCTCGGAGCCTTGGTTTGAAGGTGGACGAGTGGCCACTGGTGGCTCGGCTCGAGCTGCTGCCCCAGCCCACGCTACCGTCTCCTGGTTCTTGTCTCCTCCTCGGCAGAGCTGAGGAAATGATCTGCAAATGTGTGTGTTAATGAACATCCCCTCCCTGAGCTGAAACGCTCCGTGTTTCCTTCTCTCCAGCTTGCAGCCAGCGTTTCGCAGCGAGACGCCTGGGGAGGGCCAAGCCACTTCCCACCATCTGCTCTCCTGTCCTTTGGTAGCACAGAGCTATGGGGGACAGGGACGAGTGTGACACCCCAATCCGATCCCACAGAGAGCCAGCAGTGTCATTCCTTGTCTCTCCCAACTGTGACTCCCAACTACATCTAAACACAGATAAATCAGGGGACCCCAGGCACCCCAGAGGGTGTTTTTTCAAATCAAATCTGCCAGTTCTGAGATTTTGGTCTCATTCAACCCATGAAGTTCCTGCAGCCCCTTTCTGCCTTTGATCAACTTTATATTCTCTGTAGCCAGGAGAAATAAGCTGGTTTTGGTGAACACCAGGAACATCCCCCCCCTCCCCCGGCCTGGAAACCCCATCCCCATCCCAGCTTAGGAAGCCACGTCAGGTTGCAGACTCTTAGAAGGAAGAGCAGGATCTGTTTGGTCTTTGAAATGTTTTAATGCAGAAAGCATGTCTTTAAATCACGGCTTTGAGGGCCCGAGCTCCAGTGCGGCGCACGCTGTTTGGCTGTCTGCATTCCAAGGAAACACCCAAAACTTCCAGTATGCTTCTTATTACTGGCCTAAAGTGTCAAATTCACGTGGGCTCTTCCAGCTGGGAAGTGTTCAATGGGATGGTTTGTTTGATATGCTGATACGGATCTCGTTATTACATCAGGATGGTAGGTGATCCGTCAATGTTTACATCATGTCATGTTCAATATCGGAGTTAACTGATTCGGAAACCCAATCCAGTGATAAAACCCTTGAGCTGTTGACAAGAAGTGCCTCAGGTCAGTAGCTGCCATGGTTTTATAGTGCTAAGGACTCTTCTTTCCATAAATATTGACCTGCAAAGCCCACGCTGGCACAGCCGGACACGGGCTGCAAGAAGCTCCAGCCCAACGGTGGGCTTCATGCCCCCAAAAAAGTCACAGGTGGGGGTGATGAAGACTTCTCCGACAGATTTCTTGGGATGAGGTCTGGAGTGGTTGGAAGTCGATTGAAAAATCCACCCACTGGCTTCGGGAGGCTTTGAGTCAGTCCTTGGGTTAAGCTTAGAAACCACCTTCCTCTTCTCTAAGGTATGAGCTATTGTTCACTTGACGGCAATGGTTTCCTCTCCGTGACAGCTGTGGGTAGATGGGGAAGGGCTTTTAATGAAGCCAACCGCTGCAGAAATTAAAAAGCTTCAGGTCGTTCTGATGAAAGAAACCCATTAATAGCAATTCTCTCTTGCGTGACAAAGTCTGACGTCCCCAGCTCTAAGTGACAAGCGGCAGGAAGTCCTGGGGAGACAGCCTGTACCAAAGAGGGCTGGCAGTCCACGATGGTGGTTTTTAACTCCTTCGCCGCCTTCTTCCACACAATTTAGCACTGCTGGCTCCAACCCATGGAGATGGGGGTGGGATACAAACCAGAGAGCGTTCAGGAGAGCCAGGAAGGGTCCTGACCCCACCATTTTCACTCTTAAACGAGCCCCCGCGTTTGCCTGAACATTTGCATCGAGTTTCCTACTTTCTTTTTATCAGGGTAGTTTCAGGGTTTTGGGGTTTTGGCTGGTAATTGCTGGGTCTCCCCACAAACCAGCCCCCTTTTGGAGGGTGTAAGCACGGCGCTGCTGGTTGCTCGAGGCTTGAAAAACCCCTGCGGGGCTGCGTTTGGGTTCAGACAGCACGGGGACCCGAGCAACCACACTGCAGCATGATGCAGCCACATGAAGCCCTGGGTGAAGTCGTACGGCTGAATAATCTTTGAAAACATTATCAGCACCGGGATCACTTGATTTATTTTTCAGGATTTTTCTCCATCACATGCCAGATACTACCGCGGGATAGGGTTTCAGCTGAGATGGAGGCAGAGGATTTAATTTCCCTTCAATTTCTGTGGGACTCGCTCTTTGAAGTCCTTTTGGCTTCTCCCCTAAGCTCTGTCTGAGAAAAGGGGTTAAAGGGAAAAGGCAAACCTATTTTTCTTCTTCTGTGCTCAAACGTACGCTGAAATTATAAAATGTGGAGCAAAACAAGACACCTCACTGCACACACGTCCCCCCTGGGGGAAAGCACAAACACCATGTGACAGATGAAGCGCACGTCTCCAAAGGCCCTCAGATAACGCTGAGGTTCCTGAGGTCCAGGGACCCGCAGAGATTGGGGGGGGATAGTTTTAGGTGTTGATTTGAGGTTTCCTTGGTTTACTTCACCGTTTTCAGAACACTGCTGGCTTTTGCTTTCTGCTGGGAGTTCGTCCTGACCAAGTTTTGCTCTTTTGGCATCAGCACCTTCTTGGTCGGTTTGGACTTTTACCCACCCAGGAGCCTGGGGGTTATAGAGTTTGGGGGGGACGGTGGGGCTCACCTGGATGTGGAGCTCCCAGGGGAGGGTCACAGCCCCTCAAAAAGTGTGGCGGGGGGTGGTTTGATGTTGGGACACCCCTGGAGTGATGCTGGGGCAGGGAGCTGAGCTGGAGGCACCAGTTCCCTCCTGGAGTCGATGCTCTCCCTCCCCATCCGAGCTGTCCGGCGTCTCTGCAGACGGGGCAAGGAGGAACGTGAGGAGCTGAGCAAACACCAGATCAGAAGATATCAGACATCAGATTTAAAGAGGGGGAAGTCTGGGGACTTTCTGTGACTTTGCTATAAATTGACACCGAGCTCACACTACGCAGATGTGAGGTGGGGGGGGAAGGGGGGGGTGCGAACAAGAGGTGGCTGCGTTTTGCGCCTTTCAAAAGCGTCGCTTTTCTTCTTAAAAGCCACCGAGAGCTTGAGCTTGACTTGGTGGATGTTGGGCTGGATCTGATAAGGCTCAGCTCTCAGGATTGCTGCAGAAGGCTTTCTTCCCAGCTCTTCTCCTGCCTCCCCGACGTGCCTGCACACCTCCGGTGCCCTCCAGCTCCGCTCCCCATCACGCCGGGATAAGGCGTTTGCCACCTTGGGATGGTCCTTTCACGGCAGGTGCAATGAGCTCTGGGGGTGTTTGCAGGGCCATTTGGCTGTGGCAGGTAAAGAACAAGGAGAATCCAAGGTCTGAACCCGGAGCTGATGTAAAACTGAAGCAGCTCCAGCTTCTCTGGAGTCCCTCCAGCTTTGTGCGGGTGTAACTGAGACTGGAATCCGGCCCAGAGAGAGTGAAGCCGTTCGGCGATGATTAATATAGTAAAATGCGAAAGTTATGTATCAAGTGTATTTCATGCGCCTCTTGCCTCGGGACAATTAGCATAAATTTAATAATTATTGCCCTGTTCCAGCAGCTGCTACCTAAGGAGCTGGGAGTGCTTTACAAATGCTCATTAGTTGCTGCCCTGCCTGGGGGAGGTAGGCGAATAGTCTGCCCGTTTGACGGGGAGGAAAAGAGGAAGAGAAAGCAGTGAAGTGAGATGGCCAAGGTGTGGTACCGGGGCTGGTTGTGCCCATCCCTCCTCCTCCACCTTCTCCAGCCCTGCCCCGTCGGGTGGGCAGAGCTGGGGAGGGGGCTGGAGTGAGACGAGAGTTTGTTCTCTACGCGCTGAGAAAATCCTGTAGAAAATAGGTAAAATTCAACATCTTGCTTGCTGGTTCCTCCGTCACCACCCTGCCAAGAGATGGGGTTCCTCCTGCCTTGAGTGTGTCTCCCCTTGTTGTTTGGAGGCTGGTCCCTTGGGCACGGCACAGGGCACCCTGACCCAGTGCCCACGTCCTGATCCTTGATCCAACGCTGGCTTGTTGGATGATCTGGGACCTCCTGTTGGTGTCCCTCCTTCAGCAGGCTTTGTCTGTCTGAACCATGAGGTCTTCCCCAACGTGTGTGCCATGCAAAGCCCCTGGAGAACCCATCTCTGGTGGGGCCACCATGCGTTACCCTCATGTGAATAATAGCAAACTGTGAAGATGGAGACGGCGCTGACTTTGTGTTTAACCAGGGCGCTCTAGCCAAAGGGGAACTGATTAGATATCAGACTCTCTTATCATGTTCCAGGGCACAGACAAAAGCTAGAAGACCAAGCCAAACCCTTCACCGACCGCTACGGGGAGCTGGAACGGCTGCGCCAATCCATGAGAGTCACCCCAACAACACCCAACGCCCGCGGATCCCTCAGCACCCCCAGCCACTTTGGGTCCCAGGCTCAAACTCCAATACAAGGTAACTGGCTGGGTGCCCCAGCCTGGCGTCGCACCCCAAACCTTCCTGCTCCCGACACGGCCGGGCAGGGAACGGAGCCCTCCCGGCCCAACAAGCTTCCCTCCGGATGGTGTTTTAGGGCTGGAGTCCAGCTCTCCCCTGGGTAAGGAGACCTGCTTCAGGGGTAGACCAAGGGTTTGGTTGGGTTTCCTGACCTTGGAAGCCTTTTTGCACCCATTCAATCAGCAAACTAAATCGTAAACCCGGGCAATTTCGCCCGGCGATGGTTTAGATCTAGGAATGGGCATTGGAATAGGCTGCCCAGGGAGGTGGTTGAGTCACCGTCCCTGGCTGTGTTTAAGGGCCGTTTAGATGCAGTGCTGAGGGACATGGTGTAGGGGAGGACTTTGTAGAGTAGGGGAGATGGTTGGACTCGATGATCCCAAGGGTCTCTTCCAACCTCAATGATTCTATGATTCTATGATTCTATGAAAAAATGAGCAGTTCTAGCAGGAACGTGAGGGAGATCAGAGCAACGTGCTTTGAATCCAGCAGCTTCTTTGACACGAAGGCGTAGACGCTTCAGCGTCAACTCGAAAGGGTGTTTTATACTTTACATGCTAATCCAAATGGCTTCTTATCTTGTTGCATTGTGTTTATGCCAAGTCTGGGTGATCCATCAACCCGACTCCAGCATAATTCCCCACACGTATGCACACCTGCACGGCCGCACGCGTGCGCACACACACACACACACACACACACACACACACAGAGGGAGCTTTTGCTCTTCCCATAGTTGCCATCGGCGCAGCCGAGCCCCGGGGCGCTCCCCGCGAATCTGCATCGCGGAGCTCCTTCCTTGCCAGGAGAGAGGTAGGAATTGCCACCAGAGCTACCCGGGAGAGGTTGGGCTGCTCATTCCCATGCACCTTAATTTCAGCCCTCCCCATTAAGCATTGTGTTGGAAATTATCCAGCTGCCCTGCACTGGATTTATCCCAGCACAGCCAGACACCACCATGATGCATAAAGAGAGACCCTTCTCCCTCTCTGCACGTGAAACGCGCTCCTTTTCCATGCATTTTTCATTTTGGAGTCATTTTCCTTTGAAAATCGGAAGAAATACTAACAGGATTTAAGGGATAGTATTCAGGCAGGTTTCTTTTCAAGCTTTGGTGACTGGAAAGGTTCAGGCTGAAAAGTTTCGCTGCATTTTCAGAAGCGACGCCGATGTTTGAAAAACCTCGGTGTCATTGGCAAAAGAGGGTGTTTCGGGCGCAAAAACATGTTTGAAAACGTTACCTGAACTGTAAAAGCTGCCCCGCTTCTCCCAACCCCAAATTACAGTGAAAATTTAATTTCTTTCTCATTGAAATGCAAATCTTTATGCTTGGAATTTTCATTGATATTAGCATGGTTTATGAGAAGAAGCCGGGCGTTTTGTGTAGGATTATCATTTGATTTTTTTGTTAAAAAAAGCAAGAGGGAGAGAGAGAAAGAATTTTATAGGCTCGTCCCATTGGCTGCATAATAAAGAAAGAGATTCTTGGGGGAAGAGAAAAAAAAAAGATGCGTATTTTAAATTAGCCCAGTCCCCTGTAGTGCCAGAAACCCAAAGAGCGTCGTTTGGAGGAAAGAATCAGGTGATGACACAAATTCAACAAGAAAAAAAAAATGAAGCTGGCCACAAGCTACCGTCCCTGCCAAATTCCCAAATGTCAAGTGACAGCAGGAGTGGAGACACACAAAATTAGCCATCGAAAATCATTCCTGCGGAGTGGATCCAGAGTACCAGGAATGCTGCAGAAGGCAGTTTGTGCACGCTCTGCTCTTGGCTCCCTCGCTCCCGAGTCGGAGGAACTGTCTGAAAATTACTGCGGGTTCTTCCCAGCGTAACTGGGAGCAGGATCAGCTCAGTAATTTTCATCTCTGCCCTGTCCTTTTGACACAGCACTGGCTATAACCAATCATAATAATAATAATAATAATAATAATAATAATAATAATAAAAACCCCTTCTTTCTCTCTCTCACACACACAGCTTATTCACAAAGATCATAATTTTTACCCCAGCAAGTGGAGCCTGCCCCGTGCCAAGAATAACAGGGGAGTTAACAGGCCTGTAATTCTCACGACTTGGCACGTTCTTAGGTAACACACACGAGAAGCCGATTAGCAAAAAAAGGGCATAACGAGATACCGGTTAGGAGGGACGAAAAGGGCAGGCTGGAGTTCATCCAGCCCCCGCCAGCCTTTACCTGGGTGCTTCCCAACCTTTTTCTAGCATCTTTGCATCCCAGCACAGGGATGAAGAGGGGGATGGAGGGGCAGGTTTTTCCTCGGAGAGCACCTACGCCCGGCAGCTCTCCGCTCGTGTGCCGGAGGTGGTTGGCCTCCTGGTTTTCTGCTGACCAAGCAGTTTGAGCAAAGGCTTCCTAATCCGCTTCTGGCAAAACCAGGCTGGGGAGGTGAGATGCCCAGAAACAGCCTCGGCCACCGAGGAAGGCTTGTGGGGGGGACAGGGGGGAGGTTCAGGCACCTCAAATCCCTGAACACAGCACGTGGGGTTTGGGCTGTGAAGCAGACAGACACGTAGGAGACAGCATTGGTCTTTGGGAGGAATTGAGATCCTTTGGAGATGTGTTTGCTCTGGCTCATCCCAGTCTTTCCTCCTCGGGAGCGAAGGCTGTGGCCGCGGTGGAGATCACGGCAAGGACGCCGGTGTAAATGGGAGAAGAATCTGGCCCTCGGCCATTTGCAGAAGACTTTCAGTAAAGCAGCCCCTGGAGGTTATAAATAGCCCCCATGTAAAACGATCGTCCTGAGGTTAAATGGTCTCAAAACCAAAAAACCTCCCGGTAAGAGAAAACCGATCGTTTCTGAAGGGCATGCCAGGAAACATGGGAGGAGAAGCGTGCTCAGCACCACGGCCGAGGGCTCAAATCCTGCTCTCCTGCTGGTTTCCCATTGCCCAGCATCAGGGAATTTCAGTGCCTTCAGTCTTACTTCGCCCTGGTGCAGATGGGCAGAGAATCGATCCCTTCCCACATCTGTCTGCAAATGGGACAGATATTAGCATCCCTCCACAGACCAGATTTCATTCCCATTTCCACTGCTTTGGCAGGGAAAATAGAGTAATTCTGAGCTGATTCCGTGATGAGAATCTGGCCCAGCAGCCAGGCAGGTAGGACAGGCAGACCCTCATGAAGCCGCTTCCCTGGCTTCAGCAGAGCAGAGCTGTTTGCCCCCGTTGAGGATTTGGCCCGATACTTCTCCAGTGAGGTCTGGAAAATCTGAGGTTTTGAAATCCCGGCTCTCCCGTCTCCGCAGCGAGACAGCAAGCTGTCATTAGGATGGCTCGAAATGGTTCCTTATTACGGGGCACGCAAAGCCAGAGCCTTGCGTGCTTGCTTCATTTCAAGTTTTGTCTTCTTTTAAAAAAAAAAAAAAAAAAAATCAAGTAGCTCTCAAAAGTGAAGCAAGATGTTAAAGGAACTTGCTTCTGCCCGCCTTCAGCTACTTCTGGGGGCCCCTTTGCTCTGGGGAAGTGGGATGGGGACAGGCCCGTGTCCTCCCCGGGGGAAGTGGGATGGGGACAGACCTGTGTCCTCCCCAGGAGAACCAGGATGGTCCCAGCAGCCCCCAGTTCTCCCTCACCCCGGATGGTCCCAGCAGCCCCCAGTTCTCCCTCATGGTCTGAGCAGCCCCCAGTTCTCCCTCACCCCTTGTTTCAGCAGCGGTTCATGCTGAACCGTTTGATTCCCATTGCAACAGAGGAGGACCGCCCACGCAGCCGGCTCCTGGGTTCTAGCTTTGTGGTGGAAACATCTTCAACCACTCAAAAGCAATTGTGTGCATTGTCCGGCAACATGTAGGGGCCTCGCGTCCACGAGGACAATTGCAAAGTGATTTTCAGTTTGATCTGCTCAGTAACAGAGCGAGCTGCTTCGATTAATGTGCTTCACATCACCCTGCACCGAATTCCCTGGACTCCACAGGGGCGAGGAGAAAAAGCTGGATCCTCTTGTAATCCCCATCCTGCCTCTCCCTGCCTCGGTGTCTGCTGAAGGGTTTGGGAGACGTTGGCTTTGCTGGCGAAGAGCTTTCAGATCTCCTGATCTGGAAACTGCTCAGCTTTAACCAGCTCGATTTCCAATCCATTACTTAAAGGCAGCGCGAGGTTTTTAACGTAGGCCAGTCATCAGCAGAATGCCTCACCATATGCATTTAAAGTAAAAAATCTCTCTCCCTTTTTCTTTTTAAATATACATTTTTAAAGTATTACATTACTTTTAAGAAGCTTCTTGGCATAAGCAGCGAGTGCCCTATTGTTTCCGAAATGCAACGTGGCTGCTCTGAGGTTAGGTCCTGAATTATGGGCCCAGCAAATACACTGAATTGCTGCTTCCTAATCCCTGTCCAGATTGACTTATGGTTTCTTTAAAATATCCGTTTCTTAATGGATAAAAACATTCTACCATGGGCAGCGGCTAAATTGTTTCCAAAGGAAGCTAGGCGAGCATTAGTGGGAAGAAAACATATTGTGGGATTCAGCTTCAGCCTCAAAGGAAGGAACACGCTTAAGATGGGTTTCCTGCCTGCTTTCAGGCTTCTGTGCCTATCTTTAAACTGCTTTTCTGCTCCTCTCAATTACATCTGGCCGCTGCACGGTGGATGTCCCTTAAATGTGTTTGGCGTGGAAGGCTCAGAGATGAACCACAGGCCCCGAGAGAGAGTCCAGGCACCCGCCACCGCTGCTTTTGCCACTGACGTGCAGCCGCCTCCGTCCCCCGGCCGCAGCTCGGGGTGCCCAAGGGCTGCAGCTCCTACAAAATAGCAGAGGAGGGAAATGACAGAGGAGCTTGCAAGGAGCCCGCCTGAATTTGCCCTCAGGCTGCAGGGTTGCCATCCTGCCTTTGGGATTCTGGGATGTGGTGGGATTTTCTAATGCGGTGGGATTTTTGAACACGGTGGGATTTTCGAATGTGGTGGGATTTTCGATGCAGTGGGATTTTCAAA